CATGGTACCAGTAAGTACCACCTATCTCCCATTATTCACACTTTCTCTGCCTCATTGTCCACAAACACTGGAACTGTGCCAGCTGGAAGAAACGAACACACATGAGGAGAATAGAACCCGCACTCACCGTGGTTTAATCCGCGGCTGTCGCTGGAAGAAGCCGACACGGAGCTGGGGGTGTGGGAGAGATAAATGTGCAGCGTCTGCAGAGAGAAAAGAAAAATAAATGGACAAGCAGCAACAGGTTGTAGGAAAGTGGAGTGAGAGCCAGAAAGTGTTTAAAAAGATGATTCCCTCTGTTTAAACTGTTGTCTCTTTGACCGGCTCCTCCTGCAGCAGGCTGGTGTGGACGAAATAAACAGATATTTTAGAAAATCACTCGTGTCAAATACACTTTTAATCACGTGCCTTTAGAATATTCCAGGACAGGACCGTGGTGGAGAGAAGTCTGAAGGAGCTGCAGCCGACCACAGGCACCGGAAGAGTCCACATCAGGAGCAGGAGACAGTCCATGCTGATGCTGATGGCAGTGATGATGATGATGATGATGATGATGGTGACATGCAGGATCACAACTCTTCACCGTTACCTCCTCAGACAGCGCACAGGAAAACCTAACCTGACGTCACGCATCGTGCGTGGTGTGCGGACGTTGTCAGATTCAGGTGAAGTCTGCAGGTTGCTGCAGCCGGGAGTGCGCGCAGACTCTGAGTGAAGTCATGAGCGGAGACGTGTGTGTGTGTGTGTATGTGTGTGTAGGGGGGCGGCGGGGTCTGTAATTACAGTGAGGCGCGACTCTCTGTGAACGGCCTTAAGGATGGAGTCCATGTCATCAGAGATCAGCCAATCAGAGCGCAGCTCCATTAACCCGGCGCAGATAAAAGAGAAGGAATGAAATTCAAGAAGATTCTTCTCTGTGGTTCAGGAACCGGTCTGGAACATGTACTTGGATGTACATGTATTGCACTTGAATATGTACTAACATATACAAGTGCAATATACAAAAAAAATATTACGGTGTAATATGTAAACAGTGCAGGGGCGGTCCTGTGCTTTTTGGCGTTCTAGGGCAAATAGGCCCCGCCCATAAAAGTTTTTGTTCATTTTGAACTTGTAGTTGACAGAACAAAAATTACAAAATAAACATCATTATATCCATATGGTTCCATATTGTTATTGTTAACCAGCTATTAATGTGGGAAATCTGAAAAAAAACTATATATTTATATGTATAAATATATATATTTACATATGCATACTTATATATACGTATATATATTGAAAAACACGTGCATGATCCCGCTGGTCCCGTCGTCAGGGGTCACTACAGTGATTAGAAAAAGTTTTACATCTGTCTTGATCCATGTTGGTATTTAAAGACTGTGGTATGGAACGCACAGTCCCCTGGTGGCTTGCGGTGGTCCTACAACTGCAGCACATCAGAAAATTTGTTTAAAAAAAAATCGCAAAAACTAAAGGTACCGCGATGACACAAATACATTAACAAGAAGCTGTTAAAGGTGGTATGTGATTAATCACAGTTATGTGTTTTTTATTAGCAATTTGTTTTTGACATATAATTTTGATTGATGACTAAATCAGTGAATTCAGCTGACAGATGTACCGTGCTGTGATTAACTAGTTTAAATAAACACAGCAGCATAAAAACAGAAGTAAAATCATGTTTAAATAAATAAATCATCAAAAAATAAATCACAAGTTCAGGTGCGGTTTTCATGTATAAATACAATTCAAATTTTGAAGTGACACGGAGGCAGAGCTACAGACGTTCTCACCCAAACAGTCCAAAACTGAACCTCCAGCCCAGGAGAACGTCAGAAAAGACAGCAGAGAAAACAAAGCAGGACTGAGCTGCTCCACCATCACTGGGAGATTCATGATGTCGTGTTGAATACAGAACCAATAAAAGATGCAGAAAAGACCAGAACAACACGGTTTACATCAAACAATGCTAACACAGATTTAGAACAGCACGTACCCCCCCCCCCACACACACACACACACACACACACACACACATACATACACCCCCCACCTTTATCAACCAGTCTGTAGGAAGTTCCATATTAATGCAGAATATGAGTCATGGCCTATTGTTGTACTGGTGCACAACCTGTCACTGAATGCATCACAAACAGGCTGTGTTTGCCAGCACCTGGTGAGAAACATCACAATATCTGCACGAGTCTGAGGAAAAAATGCAAATGAAGTATATACTTCACCCATGAAGTACTTCAAATGTTATAGTACAATGATAATCTACAGGAGACTTAGGTCAATGTTTAATGTTAAACCTGTCAAAACATTATTTCACTACATCCTCAGTTGGTAGACTAATTTAAAATATTTAATATTACTAATGTAATATAGTTTAATTTAACACTACTCTGTAGTTTTCATTTATTTCATTTGAAAAAAAAACATTTGCATTTCCTTCGTATTTCCTAATACCAAATGTAAAGAGTGATATTTGAAATTAAATATATATAATTTAATTTTTATTACTGTCCATTAAAATCCTCTGAAACAGTCCCACTGTAGTGGAACTGTTGTGGAACCGACTCTTCCACAGTCAAGAACTCCTTTTATCTTGATCACATGACTTAACAGCTGGTCCCTGTGTCTGTTGATCATTAAGATGTACAGTGTAATTTCACTGGCCTGTGTTTGACTTCAGTGTCGGTGGAGGAGTTTTCCCACACTTAACCTCAGGCGGTGACGACACGCCGTCATCGCCACAGTTTGATGAAGAGACTGGGATGAAACCCAGCCACCGTGCTGTCTCGGGGTCCCACACTGGGATGGTTCTGGTTCAGATGATCAGAGACATTGATCCGGTCCAGTTGTATCAGGTCAATAGGTTCCCAGTTACACAGAACTGTAAGGATTACAAAGAGTAAAGATGACATCACAGCTTATTTCACTGGGCATTCACAGACAAAGTACTGAGTATACACATTTACTACATTCCTAATTTACATACATCATTTTAATATATTTTCCAATGCAAATACATTCAACATTTTCCACCAATCCTGGATCATTTGAGGACAGTTGGAGTTTGTTTCAATAGTGGTAATGAGCCCCTCACTCCCTCCCCACTATTTTTATTACACATTTTGATTCCTACAAACTCTACGAAAACTCTCATTAATCCAAGAAAACAAAATAAGTTTACTAACTACAAAACATAAAAAATTCCTGCCTTTAATGTGGCACTTACTTTTTTTTTGGTAGCAGATTGCACAGCTGCAGATGACTCCTCTGGTCTGTATCTGCTCCTTATTTTGGACCATGTAATTTCTCTTCTATCTATGGGATATTTGGGGAGAATCTGTGCCTTTTCTGTGTGAGGTTATTTCGGGGTGTGTCTGCCTCTGTGGCCAGCATCAGTTTGACCAGAACTCACGTTTTCACCTCTGGCAGACAGGGGTAAACTCTGTCATCAGGGGTTGTCGTGGGCAGATCCTGGCCAAGAGCACAATCAGCTGCATTTGAACGCTCCTAAAGTTTGTTTTTTTTAAATAAAAAATTACAGTACTTACAGTAGACTTGAACTACACAGATACTGTGATAAAATAGATTTTTTTTTTTGGCTGGTCCGACAGTCGGTCGACAGCTGGTCTTACAGTCCAGAAAATACGGTATTTGGGTTGAACTTGAAGTGATACAAATTATATCCAAACATTTTAAAAATTAAACTAAAACGCCGCAAATTGTTCATTTGTTTGGAGTCGTCTTCATCGAACATTACGTTAAACTGTGTGTCGGTCCAGTATTTGACACTAATCTGTTGTTAAACATTGTTGTTTCACAAAATCAGACCAAAACAGGATGAAAAGAAAGACGCCTGTGTTTAAGAAGTGCAACATCTGAGGAAGATATTTACAGAAGGAAACGACAGCAGTAATCATCTCATACCTCACTCTGTCTGTGTGTGTGTATATCTGTGTGTGTGCATGTGTGTGTGGTGGGATTCCCCTACTTTCACTTTGAAGTCGAGGGAATCATTAGATGAAAAGCGAGATGTCATCAGTTGTCAGCCCGGTGCCAGAAGTCAGAGAAAAACATTTCCTCCCACATCAACACCTGAGGTTTCTGTCTTTGCTCCAGCCGAGGTGTCAGCCAACCTGTGTGTGTGTGTATACACATGTACACAACACTTAGTCTGACACTTAGGTCATCCAATCAGTCGATCATTTATTCAACCACCTCCTGCCACACCCACCTATTACATTTAATTAATTTCTTATTAATAAACTTGTGGGTTTTTTTTTTTTCGTTTTACTCTGTGTTGTTATTCATTAATACAATGTTTTTATTATGGACTTGGACGTAAAACTTTCCTCATTTATTTCTGCTACAATTTGCTGTTTTTCTGAAGACTTTAAATTTGTTGGGAAAAAATTCAGGGAATTAAATTTATCGACTTTTGTTCCACTTCGTTCTAATTCTCCCTGAGCTTCTTCCACTTCCTGCTTCCACCTGGGTCCCACCTCCTCCCAAGCCACCCCCCCAACCCCTTCCCCTCTGTCATCTCTTCCTGGTGTTTTCTTCCTCAGCCTGACCTTATTGTAAATGAAACTCAGTTTGAACCATTTTCCAGTCCAGCACTGGAGTCCAAAACCATCCCACTACAGCACCTTCATGGACCATCTAGGGGTCACAGACCACCTGTTGAAAAACCTCAGTTCTACCAAATACATTACAAACCAAAAAAAGATGTTTATAGAGATGGAAAAAAATTTTTAATTCCCGAGTCCAAATAAAACCAACCAGTGGAAATATGAATGTCTTAAAGATGAGGACTTGTCAAGGTCAGTGGTCTGACTTGATGATCCAGTCCAACAGGAACCATGATTTGGTCTGAAGACGACTTGTGCCTTCCACACCACAGGAACTGGAACAGTCACACATACATTATCACCATTAGCTCTGTCAGTACTTCTGGTACTCACGTGTACTAGTCATGACAGTAAAGTATCTCTGTGAGCGGCTCAGCCTCAGTCGATGCCAGTGGTCTGAAGCCACAGCTTCTTTCCAGCTGCCTGGAGCCCAACAGACAGACAGTGAGATGGATGGACGACCCAAAATTAGAGCTTAGCTGGCATTAAAGGATAAACATCTCCTGTAAAAATACACCCCGTGGCCAGGGGGCGGAAAAGGCAGCGGGTTCAACAATGTGCAGCAGAGAAGACACAGTGGCCTGTCTGTCTGTGGACTGTCTGTCTGTCTGTAGACGACCACTGAATCTTAGCCATGAATTAAATATTGAAAGTGCAGCTGATGAAGATTATTATTCTTCAGTGTCCTTGGCTCCGCCCCCAGACCTTAGTGGCCAACTGAAGCACGACAGACCTTGAAGGTTTCATTTTTGATCACAGACAAAAACAATAAAAACCTACAATAACATTGATGAATAACATGAATAAAAGATGAAATAAAACAAACGGTGCAATATTCAAGCAACACATAACAGTTGAGTATGAAAAAAATAAAACATTCCTTATTGTTTTTTCTCTTATTCTATTTTGTCAGTTGAGGCTCATTTGAAAACAACGTTCAGGGGAAGAATCTGAGGATCCACAGATAACAAACCTAACACTGAGTGGTTGTAAAGAACAGAGAGAAAGAGCTGTGGACGGTTTCTAGGTCTGAGTGTGTGTGAGAGAGTGTGTGTGTGTGTGTGTGTGTGTGTGTGTCATTTGAATGAATGAAAACACACGAAGGGAAATACAGTGCGAGAGAAGAGGACAAAAGATGGAGGGGCCCCACTGATGAAGTGACCTAAAGAGAGGTACCATCGTTACAACACACACACACACACACACACAGGATATTGCTGCACCATGTGGTCCAAAACCTACTGACTTAACAAAAGCTCATAGATTTCTGTGGAGCAACCACATTATTACCCCACTTACAAAGTCACTCATTATTAGACGACACAACTTTTAACCCGTTAACATTAGACTGTAGGAGGCGCTATCTTGAATGAAATCTTTAAAAAGCTCGTTGTAACCATTTTTGGAAGACTGTATAGATGGAACTACTTCGTAACATATACATGTTTCTGCTATTGATTATTATTTATTCAAGTTAGAGATAAAAAACATTAAAATTAAAAAAAAACGAGAGAAATTTTTTTTTAATTAAAAAAAAAAAATTTATTTATCAGGTTAAAAAACTCCTGTGGGGGCCGAATTTGGCCCCAGGGCCTTGAATTTGACAGGTTTTAAAACAATGAAAAATGGTTTTATTCTTTGAATTTTCGCAGAAGTGCACGTCTACGAGTGCGCCATCATCTGAAATGAACCGAGATAGCAGAACTACTGTGCACTTTAAAACTCCATCTTCAATCATTTTCTTGAGGCCAACCATCACTGTGGGCTCACACCGCCCCACCACACACACACATCCATGCCCAGGACACCAGCACAAAAATTGGCTGCATTTACACTCAGACAGGAGGGAATTTCAGCAGATGAGAATTCAGGGATTCACCGCGTGGTGGTAGTTTTCATCTGGGCTGTGGTTTGAGCCCGGACTGGTTTATGTATCAGAATCAAAGAGAGTCAGAACTAAGAGTCATTCATACACACTACAGCGTCGTCAGCTGAAAATGCAGCTGTACGTGATAATCTTACACTGGAGCGACTGAGAAAGGGAATCCAGACACGGAGCCAAACGTACTGTTATTTCCATCACCGTGTGAAGAGTGTAAATATTAGGGACGCACCGAGATGAATGAATTCTGGGCCGAGACCAAAAATGACGCTGAGAACTGAACACAGGAAAAATATATATTTCGTCAGATTTTAGTATAACAACCTCATTAAAATCAAGGTACTGCAATAAGATAAATTAATACAATGATGAAACTATTCATTTAGCATATTCCAAACAATGCTCAATATAAAATATAAATATAATTTATATATTTACCATAACTTAGAATGAATAGAAATTTAAACTGTAAAATAAAATATATAAATGTTGAAAATTAAAATATTAGGACTGAAAAATAAAAGTCAACACAAAATATAATAGAAATATAAACATAAAAATGAAATATAAAAACCCAAAGAAGAAAAAGAAAATAGCGTTAAAAAATATAGACACTATATAGTAAAAATGTATATACTAAATAATATAAATATAAACAAGTATGAAAAATAAAAATATAAAGTATGAATTAAAAATATAAACCCTGAAAATATATAGTGACATATAGTCTATATACTGATCATCATATGTATTGCACCAAACTGACTGATTTGAAATGTTAATTGTTTAAATATTACAGTCCATACTACGGCTGTGGAATGTCAACAATCATGTGACCTGTGATGATGTCATAACCACACTTGTTTTCTTTAGATGAGAGGAGTTGAAAGGCTCGCCGACATTCGACACAATAACTGCTCATTCGGTCCAATCAGGGCAGAAAATCGGGAGACAACAGACCAACAGAACCCTTCACCAGTGGGCTGGACTAGAGTGGACACACACACACACACACACTCACACGCTCTGATGATGACTACACTCCTCAGGCCCTGGCACCAGTTTAAAGTGGTCAGTGAATCAGATGGAAATACTCCAGGCCTTGATTGTAATGGACCAGTCAAGCTGCGTCACCACTCAGAGGCCCCCTACCTCAGTGTGGAGGGGTGGGTGGAGCTGGTCAGGGGTTGGAATTCCTACTCCCCACTGTAGTCAGTTTTTTTAATCATTTCTTTTTGTTTTGTTTTTTTTTTCTTCTTCAAACTGAAAGAACATTAAAAGGAAGTGCAGTTCAGTCCTTGGACCAGATGCAGGAGCAGGCTGTGACCTGGGGGTAAAAGTCATCCTCCAGGTCCCCCCTCTCTTTTCCATCTTCTCCATCACTACATCCATCCTCTCTCCTCAGCCCATGTCCAAACCATCTCCACCTTAACTGATCTGTTCATTTCTAATCCTGTCCGTCCTGGTCACTCCCAGTGAAGATCTCAGCATCTTCATCTCCTCCACCTCCTCCACCTGACCACTGGACAGAGCCACAGGTCTCACTACAGTCTGCTGAAACCTTCTCCTTCAACACTAACTTCCTGTCCCAGATCGGCCTTGACGCTCGTCTCCATCCACTACACCCTGTCTGCAGCCTCAGAGCCTCTGTGTAACGGAGCTCAGGGACAGGCTGAGATTCACACAAAAGAAGATGCCATTACTTTAAAGAAAAAATGGAAGAAGAAGAAACCTAATGGCGTTGCATTCACAGAGGAATCCTCTCCCTTTCCACTGAATATAAAGACTCATCAGATTAAGGTTACAAATCAGCACAGCTCAAAGGGAGAGGCAGAATATCTCCTGATGCCGTGTTATTCCCCTTATTAACTTCCTGCTTTTACTTTTGTTTCATGTCTGAACGTCTGCATAACCCTCAGTAATTTATTCATAGCCTCCCTGCTGTTTCAAGGCCACCCCGTTTGGCAAATTGTGTCGTGAGAGCCAACATGAGAGCGCCGACAAGAAATACCGCCGAGTGATAAAATAGTTATAAAGGCTGCCTGGCTCTTCATAGACACTAAAGAACAAATTAGTGGCAAACGGTTCCCAAGGTCTGCAGGGACGGGAACTAACGAAGATAAAACATCGGCAGCCACAGATGCTAATATTCCTCGTTTCCTATTGACAGCAGAGGTATTTTTTAAACCAGTCTTTGTTCTGGCTGCATATGAAACAAAAAACAAAAAAACACAACTATGACAAATCGCCAAATTCTACAGCTGCCTCATGACCTTGAAAAGTTTTACACTTTAAAAGATGAATAAATGAAGGAGAATGAATAAATTAATTTAAAACAAATGGGAAAATACATTAGATCACATTTTTTCCAAATTTCATGCCAGTCATATGTGAAGGTAATTAAAAGTATAATTAAAATTAGATCTTTAGAGTCACTCATTAGTCCAAACTTCAACGACAATACAACACAATACGGTTCCATGGTTCCACTGTTAACTGCAAACCCAGGTGTGACACTTTTGAACATTTGATATAAAAGATATAAAAGATTTTTTGTTTCAACTAATTTTAACAATGTTTAAAAAACACAAGCTGGGTGTAAATAGATGATAACGTGAAAATGAATGCATTTTTTGTGGATGTCTAAACAAATACAAAAACTGTAATGAACAGCATCTGCATTTTTGCCATTTTAAAAAAATAAGGAAATGCTTTTGATCAACTTTTTAAACAGATCTACACACTCTACTCACACTCTGAGCTGGAATAAAACTGGATAAAATTTGATTTAAAAATTCCTTAAACTATGCTGTTTATTCAAATTATAGCTGTACACTCTGAACTGTGGAGTAATTACAGACATTAGATCCACAGCCTTAATTTTCCTTCGACTTTCTGTGCGGCTTTCTATTGCCATCTTGTGGCATGTTTTGGTACTACAGCAATGGTTAACCATAAATCATTACAAGCAGCATCCGTGATGCTTTATTTATTACTTAAATAATTGGCCATCTCAATGGTCGGCGTCAGAGGTCAGATGTCAGGTCAGTTGCAGACACGACATATTAAAGATTAATTTACTAGTTGACGTCTAGATAATGATGTCATAGGTATTGAACCAAACAACCTATGAGGAAATACAAATCAAAGGCCTGAGCTTCAGTAACATTCAGTGAGACCAATTCACACTCTCCTTTAATTGAACAACTGACTTATGTTGAATTTCTGTTTTTAAAAGCTGTTGCGTTCCCTCCAGTTAACTTCCACACAGAGATCGACACCAGTGTGTGAGTGGGACAGACTGTTAGATCCAGACAAATAGAAGAAGTGACACGAGGTGACTAGAGTAAAAAAAGTCAGGGAGTGAAGGTAAAAATGTAACTGTAATCAGCTGCTGCTGAAGCACTAATACGACAGGAGCAGATGTGACAACCTGTCACCTCCTGGTGGCCACGGTGGACGACGGAGAGCTGAGCGGACTGCCTGTCCTTCCCCAAGGCAAGACTGATTTATAGGGTAAACGTTCAGCACAGCCAGAGTGAAGGGAGGAGGTGGACCTTATTTTGACCAACATCAATAGTCTGAACACAACTGGCTAGTGTAAACACACACACACACACACACACACTAACAGTACCACTCCATGCATCCTGTAGTTCCATTCGGTCAAAGCCTTGAGGTGTAAAAGTTTATTTTGCAGCATTCTTCAAAATACTGCACCATCACCCCTCTCCTCCACCCCTCAACAAACACCCCATTCTCCCCTTTCCCTGTTATGTAATTGGCACGATAGATAAATAGAAAATAAAATACTACAAAATCCAATAACATACAAACAGGAGTAGCAGCCCACAATCAAACAATATGGAAAACCTGAACAGTGGATGTTGATAGGTTAGTGTTAGTAGTAGTAGCAGCAGCAGTAGTAGTAGTAGTAGATTAGAATTATGTATACTGAATAGAAATGTGAAACAAATACCTAATACATGGCACAAAGTTGAGGTGGGGGGCGACCTTGTTTAAAAAGGTAAATTATAAATCTATAATCATATGTTTAAGTTGATGTATAATATAGTAGAACAAAGTTAGTAGTTTGTAAATACACCTCATACATCCACAGCAGTACAGAAACAAACAATGCAAACAAACAAAAAAATTTAAAAACACAGACAAAGAGTTTTATTTAAAGTATGTTTCTGTGTGTTTCAAGTACTATTTAAATACTTTTACTTCTGTCGGGGCTTTTCTTTTGAAAAAGGCCGTTAGCTTGAATGCTTAACAACTATTTTGTTTCACGTAGCGTAGAGTTGTACTTGTGTTTGTGTAAATAGTTTAAATACTCATATATACTCACTAAAAAACGTTTTCCTTTATCCGTGTCTTCTTCTCTTCTCAGTTTCACTGAAACAACTTCAACTTGGTCAACATCGCGCCAAAATGTTTGTTTTGCTTCCGTGTTCCGGAATTCTACCAGCACATGCGCAGTCAAATGAAACAACCCAAGGTATGAGAGTAAAAGCGACGCAGCCGCAGAGCCTCAAGGGATTCTCAACGAATCAAAATTAAGAACGCCGTTGATGATGCGTTCATGGGACCTTGGAAATTCAAATGACAGACGTTTACTTCTATTTTTGATTTCGAAGCCTAATATTGGCACGTATAACCTTACTCAAAATTATATTAATATATATTACTAGTGTGGAGAGTTATGATTTTTATTTTAACATAACTTTGAGTATTTTATTGACTTTTGTTAATTATAACAATACTGCGTAAGTACACACGTAGGCATTTCAAAAGACCTGTTACTAAATTCAAGCGTATTGAATAATAATAGAAAATAATAATTATGTAGTATACATATAGAACTAACCACTCACCTGTTTTAAGCTAAAAAAAATACGGGGTTACTTTAATAATTAATTTCTAAATTCAAACTAGTGTTTGCGTTCACACAAAATATGCAGGTGCAAAAGGAGACCAGCAGATGGTGGTACGTTTAAGGGTTCGTGCTGAGACGTAGCGTAGATGTAGAAATGCAGACATCCTCAGCTCAGACTGAGGACCGAGAACTGAACTGGAGTCAGACCAAAACCACTGATCATCTTTTATTAAGAAAAAAAAAACATTTATCCAGAGAAAACAAATCACAGATTTATCTGGTCCTTCAGAAATCAGCTGGACATGAGTGGAGGTCAAAGTTGTCAGACAGCTGTTCTCAACTAACCAACTGTGGGTTTACATCCCAGATCACATTCATGCAGTATTTTGTCTTAAGAAAGAGGCTGGAATTTGAAGATATCGTGGAAGTTGGTGTTTTTATTTTTTCTTTCTTTGTTTTTGTTTTTCTTTGAGGAATGAGTCATCTGAAAAAAGTAGAACAATTACAGACATATTTCTTCTAGAAAACTCTACCTGCCTTGGTGCCAAAGGAACGGCAGAAAGGTTTCTATGCCTGGGTTTCTTTTACCCTCGTACAGAACACAAGACATATTGCACACATGGTGTCATTCCGATTATATGTACACACGAAATAAACCAAGACGAGCACACACACATATACACACACCTACAGACAGATCAGGACTTCTCTCCGTCCTTATCCAAACACAGTATATCTGATGTAGTCTCTGCTGCTGGTACATTCCTGCAGAAACAGCCGGATGATGAATAAGAAACAGTGTGATGTCCCAAAGTGATGATCCACCGAGTTCAACGTCAAACAGAATAAAAAAAATCTATTCTAACTGCACAGAAGAATCAGGACATTAATACAAAAAAAGCATATGTTTTCCTGTGTTCAGTTAAAATCCAAAACTGGGTTTGAATGAAAATACTTCATCGTATTTGGTCATTTGTTACAAAAAATGATTTTGG